GTGAATAGTTGGCCACCATGACTCTTCATTTTTATTTGTTTCCACCTCTAAGTAGTCCTTTAGTCCTGAGGATTTTTTTCAATACCACATTTCCCATTTTTATTTATTCAGCAGTTATTTATTCACTGCCTATCTTGTGCCAAGAATTCTGCTATGTACTGAGAGTGCTTAGACAAAAGATTCGTCTTCTGCCCTCAATAGTTCACAGTACAGGAGACAGAAAAGAAAACGCATACATTAAATATAGTTTGATAGACTTCCTACCCTAATGGAATTAGAAAAATCTTCCAGGAGAGATGACCTTAGGAGAGGAAGCCTTCAAGAACTGAGAGTTAAGGAAGTGAGGAAATATGCATGTGCTCAACAGGGATGAGGGAGAGCAGAGAGGAACAGTACTTGTGAAGGAACTGAGGCATTAGATGCCTGGAGTTTGTGGAAGTACAAGGAATTACATGTGATTGGAATTCCACAAGGCGGGAAGGGGAGTGGCAAGGAGTAGAGCTGGAGAATTATGTGGGGTAACATGACAGATATCATCTTATGCCATGGTGCCATAATTATTTTTACATAAGTACCCAACTTTGTCTACCCAACTACATGGTGGCTACTATGTCCCAAAGGGACATGAATTAGTCACCCCTGGACCCTGGGGCATGGCATAGTGCCTGACACAGTAGGGTTTCAATACATACTCTTTTCTCACATTTTTAAAAAAGATTCTATTGTTTATTCATGCGAGGCACAGAGAGAGGCAGAGACATAGGCAGAGGGAGAAGCAGGCTCCATGCAGAGAGCCTGATGTGGGACTCGATCCCGGGACTCCAGGATCACATGCTGATCCAAAGGCAATGCTCCACCACTGAGCCACCCAGGCGTCCCTTTCTCACAGTGTTGATGCATGTATTGTAGTTAACTACAACCAGCAACTTTTTAAAATTTTCTTGATTTCAGTTGGAATTTAGTTTTTGTTTACATTGCATTTCTAAAGAATATTTATTTGTTTATTCCCTCATATATAGAAAAATGATTTGCTACTATTTTCTCTTCTACTATAAAATGAAAATTACTAGATAGCTAATATAATTTATACATTTACTTTGGCTTTTAGGATACACTATTGTTAAACTCAGTACTTCACACTTATAAAAATGTTAATACTCTTATTTATTGAAGTTTTATATTTAAAAAAATTTTTTAAGGAACCTGGGTGGCTCAGGGGTTGAGCATCTGCCTTTGGCTCAGGTCGTGATTCCAGGGTTCTGGGATTGAGTCCCGCATCAAGCTCCCTGCTTGGAGCTTGCTTCTCCCTCTGCCTATGTCTCTACCTCTCTCTCTGAATCTCTCATGAATAAATAAATAAAATATTTAAAAAAAATTTTTGGTAATGTCTACACCCCACATGGGGCTTGAACTTACAACACTGAGATCAATAGTCTCATGCTCAGGGACGCCTGGGTGGCTCAGTGGTTGAACGTCTGCCTTTGGATCAGGTTGTGATCCTGGGGTCCTGGGATTGAGTTCAGCATCAGGCTCCCCACAGGGAGTCTGCTTCTCTCTGCCTATGTCTCTGCCTCTCTCTGTGTCTCTCATGAATAAATAAATAAATAATCTTTAAAAAAAAGTCTCATGCTCACTGACTGAGCCAGCCAGGCACCCCCAAAATATTAATACAGTTTAAAGTTGATTTGGAGAAAGAATAACATCTACTTTATTTATTTTTAATTAATTAATTAATTTATTAATGAGAGACACAGACAGAGAGAGAGAGAGAGAGAGAGGAGTGAGAGAGAGAGAGCAGAGTGGCAGAGACACAGGCAGAGGGAGAAGCAGGCTCCATGCAAGGAGCTGGATGTGGAACTTGATCCCGGGTCTCCAGGATCAGACCCTGGGCTGAAGGCAGTACTAAACCACTGAGCCACCCGGGCTGCCCTATTTATTTATTTTAGAGCTAGATGATGACAGGAAGAGGGAAAGGGAGAGAATCTCAAGCAGACTCTACACTGAGTATGGAGTCTGACACAGGGCTCAATCTCATGACTCTGAGATCGTGACCTGAGCTGAAACCAAGAGTTGAATGCCTAACTGACTAAGCCACCCAGGCACCCCTGGGTGCCTTAAGTTTTCAGAATAGTTACACATCTATAAGGGCATTATGATTACATCAGAGTAATTGACAGATTGATTATTCACCCATAAGGGAATCATGATTAAATCACAATAATTGGTTTTTATGAGCCCAGCTAAATTTTCCTTCTTTAATTTTAGTTTAATTATGCAGTACACCTCAGTATGTGTGTGATCTGGTTAGCTATATTTTACATAAGTATGTTGTTAGAAAAGGCTGAATCCAGATGATTCTATAGCAGAAAGATCACTTAGTATACTAAGCTGGGTGTATCTCTTGCTGTTTTATTAAATCTTGTATATCTGTTTGAAATAAACTTCCACTGGGATACTGAATGTCAGTGAGTAAATGATAATAGTTTAGATTTCCATAAGTGTGCATGGACTTCTCTAATTTTGTAATCTTAACATAGATTAAAGCCCAGTAAATATTTGATTGATCTAATAAATGTTACCCTGGAAATAAAATTAAAATTCTTTAGTAACAGTTTTTCCTTCTAATGGACATTATCGGCACATGGCTCTATCTATCTACACACCCACACACACACATGCAATAAAATTATTGAAAGACAGGGTAGTATGATATACAAGAGACTGTGTTCTGAGTAGAATAGAACTGAGTTTAAATCCTCTGTCACATTTAAATCCTCTGTCACACACAGTTGTGTGGTATTAAGAATACCAGCCACTCTAAATCTCAACTTCATAATCCATAAAATGTTTTTATGTATATGCAGTGTTCAAATTAGATACTGTAAAGCAGTTAGTATTAATGCATGAGATATAGCAAATGGTCATAAATATTAGTTAGTATTATGATTATTTATATCTCTTATTTTTATCTATATTTCTTCTCTCCTGCTTCGATATTTGAAACAACTTACCCCTGTTCTCTACAGAAACAGCTCACTGGGAACCATTCTCATGCCTGGTGGATAAAACTCAGAACCACTTTCCATTCTATACTGAGTGTTTAGAGAACAAATGGATGCTTGAGGAGCATGAAGCTTTGAAAACTCTCATGGATTCCGAATAGCCAAAACGACGTCCATGTGCACACGCATTGGAGGTATGTATAGATGAAGAAATGCCAAGTTCAGTTTTTTTTTAAATTCTTATTTATTTATGATAGGCACACAGTGAGAGAGAGAGAGGCAGAGACGCAGGCAGAGGGAGAAGCAGGCTCCATGCACCGGGAGCCCGACGTGGGATTCGATCCCGGGTCTCGAGGATCGCACCCTGGGCCAAAGACAGGCGCTAAACCGCTGCGCCACCTAGGGATCCCACACTTTGGATAGTCCAGAAGCTGATGTCGGTTGTGAATGGAGACTCACAGTGTGTTTGAAGGCCATTTCACTTTTTTTTAAAGATTGATTCATGAGAGACAGAGAGACATAAGCTGAGGGAGAAGTAGGCTCCTCTCAGAGAGCCCGATGAGGGACTTGATCCCTTATCCCGAGATCACACCCTGAGCTGAAGGCAGATGCTCAACTGCTGAGCCACCCAGGTGTCCCTTGAAGGCCACTTCAAAATATCTACTTTCTTATAAACGAAGTGTCAGTAGAGGATCCATCAATGCATGACAAAAAGTGCATGGGGTTTGGAATCCAAATATGGATTGAAGGAATTGCCTTTGTTGTGTACTAGCTGTGTGATCTTTGGCAAATGACTTTGCCTTTCGAGGCCTTGATTTCCTTGGCTGTATAATGAAGCTAATCATACCTAGCTTGCAGGGCACCATGAGAATTAAATTAAATGAGGTCGTGTGTATAAAGTGCCCATCACAGTGTCTCAGCGTTACTGTAGTTATCACCAAGAAAGTAATTATAAATTAAACTGTGATACTGGGTCTGTTCAATATTCTGGTAGTTACAAGTGATCTGCATTCAGTTGATGTAATATCACTATAATATGATGTCAGAACACAAACCACTCAATACGTATCATCTGAACAAAGAGCTTTCAAATTATTTCTAGCAGTAATAATAGTTGATGTCCACTGAGTATTATGTGGCAATCACTGGGTTAAGTGCATTATTGCATTTAATTTCTGCAGCATTCCCATACTTTGGATATTATTTTGTAGGGAAGGAAAATGAAGCTTAGGAAGGAGAAATAAATTGCTTGGCTATTAAGTGCGATGGATAGCCAGGAATATAGCTCTGGTCTGACTCCAAAATGTGGGCTCTGACCACAGATTATACCACATGCTAATTTGTTACATACTCTACAAAACAGAGAATCTCTTGTTAGATAGATTGACCCTACTCTGACTTTAGGAAAGGTAAAACTTGTTGCTTCTCAAAAGCTTTACTTAATGAAAAAAGGATTCAAATACTCAAGCTTGAAGCTGTGACTTTGAAAACTTTCCTGACGTGAGAGAAACAGTGACTGTGTATTGTCAGACCCAAATTACCACCACATGTAACCCATTTTAAACAGTTTTGCCTGTAGTGAGCCTCAAGTTCTTTTTTCACCTTGTGTCTTTTAAATGTACTGTACATGTGTTACAAATAGCATACCCAGAATCATATCTTGGCATTAAAATTCCATGAAGTCCATTTTGGGAATCAGATTACTACATCTATTTTTAGTTCTCAACACAAACTACTTTTTCCATTACACTTTTAAATATTCAATGATAAAGAGATTGAAAATAGCTCCTATAGCCAAATAAAAATCCTGCATGGGTTAATCAGTACAGATCCATTGACAGGCATTAATGTAATTACATTACCAAGGCGGCTACCTGTCAGTGCCTCTTTCTTCCTCTCGTTTGGGACTACCCTCCCCATTTGCTGCTATATTTGTCTGCCTTCTTGGCCATAAAAGGCTGGCTATGTGGCTCTGACATTCTGCTGCCTGACCACATGCATTATTTTTGAACTGGTCCCCAGGGTCCTGTCTTAGCCCTGCCTCTTCACTGTTTTGGGGATTTAACCTACGTGAGTTTTTCGTTCTTTCATCCAGCTCCACGGCCACATCGAAGCATTCCCACCACCATCACTCCTTTGAAAACTGGTAAGTGTGACATTGAGGCAGAAGAATGCACTTGATATTTTACATGCTTAACAGCATTGTGTGTGTGTGGTTTCTTTCTATCTTGTGAGTTCAGTGGTTTTCTCAAAGAGAGGTCAGAATTGCAGAGAAATAGGACAGTGGAGCCCCTGGGAAGGAAGACAAAAACAGCGGGGTGCCAGTTTTTGCTGGCACAGCTCTCCTCTCACATCCACACTGTTCTTTTTAAGTTAAGCTACTTTTCCTGGAACTATAAGGAGATAGTATCTGTCTCAGATGGAACTGTAAGTGTGAGTCCAAGTATTTTCTAAGTTACAGTTCAGTGGTTTGGTTGAAATCTGGGATGGATGAGGTGGCAGGAAATAATGTGTTTGCTATCTTCCATATGCCTACAATGTTCCCTGATTATAAATTAGACCAAAAGGAAGTAAATTAAGTCTGAAGTCCCTAGTTTCTAATTCAGTGATTTTGTTCTGACAATGCCATGTGGATAAATGTAAGAGTACATTATGATATATTTAACCTGAAAATGGCTAAATAATAGCTCATTGGCAACATAGATCTCCACAGAATGATCCTAGAGTTAACACTTCTGTGAATGATTTTAATCAGCTTTTGGCCTTCATGCCTATGCTCAAGTATCATATCAGGATTACAATTATGGAATTAATATTTCTTCCAAAATTCCCAAATTATATTTAGAAAGAAAACGAACTAGGGGAGATGGAAGGGGAGGAGGGCGGGGGGTGGGGGTGAATGGGTGATGGGCACTGAGGGGGGCACTTGATGGGATGAGCACTGGGTGTTATTCTGTATGTTGGCAAATTGAACACCAATAAAAAATAAATTTATTATTTAAAAAAAGAGAAAAAAATAAAGAAAATCCAGGCCTTAAAGGAACAGAAGACAACCAAGCCACCTTTCTTCCCAACATACTCTAACTGTCATGTGTTGTGGATAATCCTCACTTACTTGATGAAGAGGAGGTAGTTGTACCTTCATTCTAGAGGTCAGAGCAGTGACAACCAGCTCTGATGACTTAAAGTCAGACTCTGTTTACTTGTAATACATTATGAATGTGTCTGCAATATTAAGTACTATTAAAAAGAAATATATTTGGGGGAAACTAGAAAGAGAGTGGAAAGTAAATTGGGGCAAGATATTTCAAGATTTATTTTGTGAAAAATGACAGCATTTCAAGTCACATTAGCATAGATGAACTTAGCTTATAATACAATACATAGGAAGGTCATTCACCATTTATTGGAGATCATTTAAGTAATATTTGCCATGTTACAATGTAGTATGTGTCACTAAAGAAACATCTATTATCTTTATAACTATTTAACATATTTCCAAGTAATATATTCTAATCCTTTTGTTTTATCAAAATTTATCTAATAATTATTCATTACATATGGTAATTATTCTGTATGTTTTAGAACAGAAGATAGCAATCTATTTAAGGGTCGACACAAAGTTGCTTGCTAGTAGCTATTTTTTTCCTCTTGGGAAATGCCATGTAGACTGATACCTTCCATGAGCCCCAAGATAAATATTTCTGAAGTGCAGTTTGCTGGATTTTCTTCTCGGGAATATATACTGACTTTTAAAAGAGTTTAAATAAAAAGTGGATTTAAACTTAACAGAAAAACATGGCAAGTTTAAAAGGATTCTTTCCTCACTTAAAATAATCAAAAAATAGATTGGGAAAAAAAATGGATTACCTCATAACCAGATTGACTTTAAAATTTAGAAGTAACATTTCAGAGCATGCATAAACACATTAAGAATTGGGAGAGGGGCTTCCATAAAACTATTACTTCATCCAGGTCCGTTAGCAATGTGGCTAATAGACTCCTGTCAGGGGACACATTATTCAAGAGGCTCATACAGTGTGAAGTTGCCCCTCCCTATGCTAAGCAAACTTATCTTTGATCATCAGTTGAACTGGTAAAAGTTCATAATACAAACTGCTACACTGTGACTGACTTTCTTACTCCTTTGTGTAAGAAGACTAGAAGGCTTCATATTCTTTAAGGGAGCAAATAATTTGCCTGGTTTGACCCTGTACCTTTTGGAAGTGTTTGTGAAATTTGGGAGAGCTCATTATAGGATAATACAGTTGCCCCTTGAACAACATGGGTTTGAACTGCATGGGCCCCCTGACAAATATTTTTGGTTAAAAATAATACAGTATAATTAGTATAGATAGTATAGACAATTATATAGTTATCTATAGTTAATAGAGGTAAGTATAGTTAGTTAACTATAGTTAGCATAGATAGTATAGACAATTATATAGTTATCTATAGTTAGTATCGATAAATATAGTTAACTATAGTTACCTGTAGTAGTTACTATAGATAATATAGACAAGTATATAGTTATCTATAATCAGCATAGATAAGTATAGTACACTTTCTTTTTGATTTCTCAATATTTTCTTTTCTTTTGGCTTACATGCATAATATGTGTTAATCCACTGTTTACATTATTAGTGAGGCTTGTAGCCAACACTTGTCTATTAGTAGTTGAGTTTGGGGGGAAGTCTAAGGTTATATGAAGATTTTTGACTGCACGGGTGGAGGTGGAGTTGGAACCCCTAGTCCCAGCATCATTCAAGGGTCAACAATATAAACAAACTCCAAGTTTCAGTCCTAGGACTTCTTTTTCCATTTTGAGTCATTTTCATCTATGTTTTGGCTTTACATACCATCTATATGTTGGTTACTGCCAAATGTAGGTGTCTTTCCTGGACCTTTACCCTCTACTCCAAAGTTAGGAATACAACTTAACATCTCCACTTGGATGTCTAGCACGTATCTCAGCATCACTCACTCAAGAGTCTCAGCTCAGAATCTTCTGATGGTTTTTTAGCCCTTTCAGAATGAAAAACAAAGTCCCTATAGTCACTTGTTGGACTCTACACTGTCTATCCCCTCACCCTGACATCATCTCCTGTACATCTCCCTGCACCCCACTCCTTGCAGTTTCACTGCCTAGAGTATAATAGGAATGGGCACATCTAGTGTCTTTGCGATGCTCTTCCATTTGGTACACTCTGGATGTAAGCATGAGGTATTCTCATACTATATGTCACTTTCAGGCTCCGAAGCCATCCCCGATGAGGCTGTTTAAAATCACATCCCAATTCCCTCTCCTGCTTCATTTTTCTCTGTAGCATTTAGTACATTCTGTTATACCTTACATTTTATTTATTTTCTCTATTGGCTATCTCCTGCAATAGAACATAAGGTTCTATCTAAGGTTATCAGATTAGAGATTTTTTTGCTTTGTTCATCTCTGTATTTCTTGTGCTGCAGCAGTACCTCACAGTAGGTGCTCAGTAATTATTTGTTGAATGAAAACCACATTGACTGTACACAGACTCACCATCATTACATATCCTCTCAGATGAAGCCCCTACCTATTAGAATGAAATGCCAGAAAATTAGAAATACATTTTATGAAAGGTCTGAGGGAAAAACACAATAGCTAGGGTAGGGAAAATTTGTAAAGACCTCCTAGATATTAAAACAAAAAATAAAAGAACCCACACAAGAAGGCGACCCAATGGCAGAAAATTTGAGTAACCAATTAAGCTAACCTTTACATCCTTTTCTATTTGCTTCTTGGAAAAAATAAGAGTATTTATTTTTACATATGGATTTAGATACCTTGTTCTTAATGGTTCGCTCAAAAGTTGCTGCTGTCTTATAGGTTACCTGGTTCCCTCCAGGGCACAAGATGTCTCTGCCCTTTTATCAGAAGCTCCACCAGCACTATGACAGCAGCTACCGCAACAGGGACCTTCGCACCACCATGAGCCAATACCAGCAGGAGAAGAAAAGTTCTGCCATCTACACCCATGGCTCCACGGCCTACAGCAGCCGCTCCTCAGCGGCGCACCGCCAGGAATCCGAGGCCTTCAGCCTGGCGTCTGCTGCCTCCTACCAGCAGCAGGCCTCCCGGGCCACTGCGTCCACCCATGCATTTGCTGCCAGTCGGAAGACAGCCTCAGCCTACGATTATGGCTACTCCCACGGGTATGTCAAAAACAGTCTTCCAACCTTAGCACAAAGGCACTTTCTCTGAATAACCCTCCTATATCATGTTTTCCTTTCTTTTTAGTCTCGCATCCCTACATTTATATCAAGTGTGGAGCGGGGCGCCTGGGTGGCTGGGTCTGATTCTTGGTTTTCAGCTCAGGTCATGATCTCAGGGTCCTGAGATCAAGCCCTGCATAGGGCTCGGTGCTCAGCTGGGAGTCTGCTTGTCCCTCTTCCTCCATACCCACCCCCCCACCGCTCCCCACGCCCTTTCATATAAATAAATAAATAAATAAATAAATAAATAAATAAATAAATAAATAAATAAATAAAATCTTTGAAAAAAAAATCTGGTGTTGAGCGAGGCCATGTTTTGGAGAGACCTGGGATTTCTGTCTACCTGTTTCCTTTTACCTTTTGAGTTTCACAAAGCTTCATAATCACACTGGTGTGTCTCGCCTGCATTGCCAACTGTGATATTGCTAGAAGCTGAGAAATTTTGCCACAGATTGATTTCAACATTCAGTAGCAGCAGAGCCAGAAAATATCAATGCTCACAGCAGGTTTCCTGGCCCTCAAAATGTTTCTACTTAGTTGAGAAGCCAGTATAGAATTTAAAATTCACAGGTCACAGGCACCCAAACTACAGCAGAGATGTGTTCTACTTTTTTGATATCTGAGAGCCAATATTAGAATTCTGAGTATTGTTCAGGCAGGCAGCACATATTTTCTTTAGCTAGAGCATTTTATAAAACCAGACTCCTATGTTAGTCAGCCTAAGATTATCAGGAACAACCCTGTATTCTGATAAAAGTAGATTTATCAACCTATTGCAATGAGGGAGACCACACAGCAAAGGAAAAGAGAGTTACTATAGGATTCTAGGATGAGTGGAGTTTACATGCAGGTCTGGTCTGCAAAGCAAACCCAGGGGCCCGTTTCTATTGGAAGCAGTGAAGTTGAGATGAATGAGGATGGTTGTATCCAAAAACCCTTTATGTGGAGCTCAGCACCTGGGTTGGGAACTGAAGTTGCTTCTCTGTGTCAACAGCAACTGGGGTCATCCAAGCAAGAGTACAGTGTCTCATTCTGACTGATAAAGTTTCAAATAGCAAACTGACTGATAATCTTTGATATTAGAGAAGAACATTTCTCAGAGAGTCTGTAGTCATTCAAAGATGGAGGTTAGCACAACCCTTTTTAGCAGCAGTGTCCCTGGGAGACATGTTTCCTGTGAACTTTGCAGTTGGCTTCTGTCTGTTGTTCCAGCCCGATGAATGCTGGGCGTATGCTTACTGTCTCAGCCCAAGCCAGTTTTTATTTTCTTGATATCCAGAGTGAAATGTTTCATGGGGATTAAAAAACACTTGCGAGATTTATGTGATTTTATTAAAAATCTATTTATAGTCCACAGAAGGAATTACTGAACTTGAAAATGTAAACATTTCTGGAATATGTGATAAATAACCACTTGCTGCCTCCAGTCTGCCTCTCCAAAGCATTTGGCATAGATTGCATTTTTTTCCAGTTATAAACATAATATAATTTTAAGTCTTACAGAATTTAAGTCCACAAAATATCTGTTAGGACAACTAGAAAAGTGTTTATTTCTGGGAGTTAAAGAAGTTATTGAGGAAATAGTATAGTGGTTTGTATGAATAGAAGTGAGGATAGTTTCTGAAGGCAGAAATTCCTAAATCCCTTTTGGGTTTAAGCAGCACCTGATCTATGGCTATTATTTCTTGGGCACCGACAGGGACCTCTTGGGAGCATCTGCTCTGTTCAGTAACAGAGCCAGAGTCTGCTTGGGTTTACCTGGAATGTGTAATGGCAATGTTATGAAATTCCATTTAAAAGGGAACAGGATCATTTTGCAATCTCATTTTCATGGGATGTTCAGAAGGACTTTGTGTTGGCTGTAAATATGGAAATATTGTCGCTAAGGTGAATTCATTTCTTTTAGCACTTGCTTTAAATGAACTGTCTTCCAAAGGAAAATTTGGGAGGAATTAACACCATGTGTGTGTGACAGCATCATTTTGTTCCGTAGAACATTAAGAATCTCATTTGGGAAAGCAGCTGTCTTTTAATAGAGGAGGATTACATTTTAAATATCCATTTTCATGGACTGTCTGTGCTGAGTCTATAGAAGATGTTGTTAATGTAACTGCTTATGTACTTATTTCATTTCTCCAATGCCATAAGATCTATAGAGTTTTATGAATTTGTATTTTAAAGAGATCTTTACTTCTTCAACTCTATTGCTAAATTTTATGTTAAATTATTTTAAGGTTAAACAAAATCTCCTTTTAACCACATGTATAATATCCAGATTTATTTATAATTGGAAATATATATTAAACATTAGTAATTAAACCTTTGAGCATTTTAATATTTTATTCAGAAAACACTTGCTCTGTGTTATCTTTGGAAGACTTAGCTATTTCAGCTTTAAAAAGCTTCACATAGTAAAGTTTCTATAGAGAATGGAACTGTAATAATTTTTCTTTTTTTTTTTGTAATCATTTTTCTATACTCAACATCATATTCTTTCCTTTGGTGTCTATATTTATGTATGTGTGTAGGTAGCTATTCATTAATGGCTTAAGGTTGGAACAACTCAAACTTCTTGGTAGAAACATGTTGACCTAGAAGTGTTGACCTAGAAATAAGAGAGGGAAGAAAACACCAATATTTTTTCCTTTGTGAAGGAAAGGAAAAGAACATAAATGTAAATTGTAAATGTAAAGGAAAAGAAAGCTGACCTAATCCTGAGGTTATTTTAGCTTTTCTTTTTTTAGACCTAGAGCTAACAGGTGCAGCTAATGTTCTTTGAACATTTCAAAATCTTCATAATTCCTTTAGGTTGTAGTTTTACTCTCTCAAAATGGAATAACTTTTCCCTGCTAAATAAAATAACTCTCTTGGACTGTGAAAACTGTTGATTAAAACTCCTATGTTTAGAAATGCAATTCTGTGGAATGTATGTAAACACTGGGCTTGATCTATTTTTAGCCTCTGCTTTGTAGTTAGATGTCCAGTGGTAAAGTGGAAACTATGGAGATTTATATGTGCTTAGGACTTGGCTGACCTCAGTAAGTCTGAAGAACAATGGGCCGTTCAGGCCAATGTGGTTATAAGCACAGATCAGTTACCAATTGAATTCTGAGCCAAGGGTTATAAAATAAATCCTGGAAGGCTTATTATAAATGCTTTTATTCTTAGTCACAGTGAAAAAAACCCCCCTAAATTAAAGTAATTCAGGAAGACAAAATGGCACAAGATTATTGTTTTATGCTAGTAATCCACAGATACTATCAGGGATTAAAAAAGAAATGGTACTCATAACTACCAGTAGGCAAGGATTCTTAACCTCTATCTGTGAATGGAGAGTTTTAGGTGATCTGAAATTATGTACAAAATTAGGCCTGGCTGAGAATTTTTGCTGAGAAAGACTATAGCTTTCACCAGATTCTCAGAGAACCCTGTGACTCAACAAACATCAGAATCACTGTGCTAAACATCAGACAACCCAGTATATGGCCCGAGGATCCCCTTCTTAATGCCAATATCATATAAATTAGGATGAAATAAGGCAGTGTTTATTATGGGAGTCATGGTTCCTTCCTTTCTTTTGAGTAAACTGGTTCATACCGTAAGATGGAAGTAATAAATGAAATATTTTGTTAGAGGAATGAATAACTTTCAAAAAAGCAGAGACATCACAGCATAGTTCTTGGATTATGGAAGGATTTAGAGTTGTCCCTCAACCCTCTATGGTAATGGTGGATATTTAATTGCTTGATTCTAAACAGATTGAAATTCAACACATATGATGCAGGTCAGCACAGCATCCTCCTTACCACTGTATCTTTATAATAACCCTGAGAAGTAGAAATTAACTCCATTTTAAAAATGAGAAAATTGGAGAGCAAATTGATTGAATAACTTTTCTTCCTTGCACTAAGAAGTGGTAAAATGATTTGAACCCCCAAACCCCCCATCCTTTTCGTGGGTAACCAGTGACAGTTATAATTGGCCAACTCCCCTTGACCTCATGGCCACCAGATTTTTCTTAAAGCATCAATATATAGTTTTTCATTATATTTCATTTTATTTGCCCTCCTTCTGGAAAAGCCATTGAGCACCAAAATAACTAAAAGTCAGAGTAGGGAACAATGGATCCTAGGAGCATTCATGAATGCTAAACCTAGAACCTCACAGACGTTTAACTTGTCACTTAGACACAGTGACTCACAAGGGACTGTAGAAGTCACCAGAGTGGGGATGAGAAATCTGAGGTATGAGTGACTTGCCCGAGGCACTTTGCCTACCATTAAATTGTGCCCTCACCTACACTCATGTCACATTGATCGACTCCCCTCGGCTGTTACCCGGATGATAACCTCTTTTCAAACTATTATAGTTTGCAAAGAGCACACTAATGCTCAAAACAATTCCAATTCAGACACAAGATACCAGTGCTAAAAATAAAGACCACTAAACACAGAAACCCTTGTCTTTTATTGGCAGGTCTGATTACAGCAGGGACTGAGGGGGACCTGAAAACTTGCTCCATTTCCCACGCTGGTGTGGTTTCAAAAGATGTTACCAAAGAAATCTACTACCTTGTGGACATTTTTGTGTCTTAACCTCAACTGCTGGTATCAGACTAGTATCCATTTTCTACATACTCATTTCCAGATGTTACAATGCAAAGTGGATAGTCTTTGGGGTCAAAGAGCCCTGTGCTTCCTACAGTTAGGCTTGTGACTTCAGAAACTAGTTCACCTTTCAGTTTCTTCATCTGTGAAATGGGAAAAATGTTCATCCCTCGTGTTTCGAAGTCTAAAAGAAATAATGACATAATGGGATGCATGAGTGGCTCAGTGGTTAAGTGTCTGCCTTTGGCTCAGGTCCTGGGATCCTGGGATCGAGTCATATCAGGCTCCCTGCAGGGAACCTGCGCCTCTCTCTGCCTATGTCTCTGCCTCTTT